TATGAACTCGTTTTTTCGGATGGCTATACTGCACTCCCAAGGTCGTGCAGTATAGCCATCCGAAAAACTCGTTCATATTTTCCCATACAAATGCAGTAACCTATAGATAGATAGATAGATAGATAGATAGATAGATAGATAGATAGATAGATAGATAGATAGATAGATAGATAGATTTATTTTTCATATTTAATTAATACATTTTTTAGAACATTATAACAGGTTTAAGAAACAGCAACATAAACAACAAACCATTAAATACATCACAGTCTGTGTACCACGTAACCTCGAAATTTACCGTATAATGTCAACAGATTTGGCAACTTTGTATCATTAATTATATAACGCTGTAGACCCCAAAATAAGTACACATACCTTTACGACGAAACATATTTCTTAATGCTTCACCGATTACATGGAATAAAATTTTGTTTCAAAGATTTTCATGTAAAAAAATGCAATACAAATAAATGAGTGTAATTTAATAACATGAACGCTTTGATCTGTATTTGGATATCAAAATAAAATAATATTCAACGTTTTATGCAGATTACGTGCCATTGAAATTTTTAAAAAATTTTCAAGTAGATTGATTACATTTATTTGTTTCTAGCACATATACCACATTACACTTAGTTTCGGGAGTCAAGTTACATTTGTAAGCGATAAACGAATGTGGTATTCAAGCAAGACGTAACAAGCAAAACATAATGTATGAAGTTACTACTGAATTACAGTGGTGGTATTACAAATCATTTCCAATACTGAGTTTGTTGGTGTGAATTTAGTCTAGAACGTGACAAGGTGCAATGATCTGAACTGTGATGTTCTAAAAATCTTTTCACGTATCGTAAACACCAAGCCCAAAGTGATATTGTCTGAATTCACAATAACTCTATGTTACTGTTCCATTTCAAGAATATTATAGACGTGCACTGTGTAAATTCAGTGGGTAATAATTTGAATGAATGCTTACACCCAAATGAAAAACTAAACACAACATTAAGACTGATCCTACCTCAAACGCTAAATGCACGATTGGGAAATTTCTCAAGATTAAAATAAAATTCTAGAACCTGATTTTTCAACATTTCTGAAATTCTGAAAATTGGTTACACCAGAGTCACTACAGTCTGATTGCATTCCATCGCTTAAATTCTCTTTGTGTTGGACTGATGCACCTAAACCGACTGCGTAATTAACAGAGATATCTCGATCAATATGCTTCTTTAATATATTTATACAGCAATGATTTTTGTTTGCGCCTTCTATGAATTTTAATTATATAAATTAAGTCACTTGCTTATTTTTCTAGCAATATGAGGACTATAGTACTTAGCCTGAAGAAGATTTGGAGGTATGTGCAAGACATCAACAAGCTGAAAATTCCAAAACTCTTATCAACAGGCAGAAAACTCCAAAACTCTTATCAACAGGCTGAAAACTCCAAAACTCTTATCAACAGGCTGAAAACTCCAAAACTCTTATCAATAGGTTGTAAACTCCAAAACTCTTATCAACAGGTTGTAAACTCCAAAACTCTTTTCAACAGGCTTGAAAACACCAAACCTCTTATCAACAGGCTAAAAACTCCAAAACTTGTATCAACAGGTTGTAAACTCCAAAACTCTTTTCAACAGGCAGAAAACTCCAAAACTCTTATCAACAGGCAGAAAACTCCAAAACTCTTATCTACAGCCTGAAAACTCCAAAACTCTTATTAACAGGTTGTAAACTCCAAAACTCTTTTTAACAGGCTTGGAAACTCCAAAACCCTTATCAACAGGCAGAAAACTCCAAAACTCTTATCAACAGGCAGAAAACACCGAAACTCTTATCAACAGGCTTGAAAACTCCAAAACTCTTATAAAAAGGCTGAAAACTCCAAAACTCTTATCAACAGGCAGAAAACTCCAAAACTCTTATCAACAGGCTGAAAACTCCAAAACTCTTATCAACAGGCTGAAAACTCCAAACTCTTATCAACAGGCAGAAAACTCCAAAACTCTTATCAGCAGGCTGAAAACTCCAAAACTCTTATCAACAGGCTGAAAACTCCAAAAGTCTTATCAAGAGGTTGTAAACTCCCAAACTCTTTTCAACAGGCTTGCAAACTCCAAAACACTTTTCAACAGGCTGAAAACTCCGAAACTCTTATAAAAAGGCTGAAAACTCCAAAACTCAAATCAACAGGCTGAGAATTCCAAAACTTTTATCAACAGGCAGAAAACTCCAAAACTCTTATCAACAGGCTGAAAACTCCAAAACTGTCATCCTTAGGCTGAAAACTCCAAAACTCTTATCAACAGGCAGAAAACTCCAAAACTCTTATCAACAGGCTGAAAACACCGAAACTCTTATCAACAGACTTGAAAACTCCAAAACTCTTATAAAAAGGCTGAAAACTCCAAAACTCTTATCAACAGGCAGAAAACTCCAAAAGTCTTATCAAGAGGTTGTAAACTCCCAAGCTCTTATCAACAGGCTGAAAACTCCAAAACTCTTATCAACAGGCTGAAAACTCCAAAACTCTTATCAACAGGCTGAAAACTCCAAAACTCATATCAAGAGGTTGTAAACTCCAAAACTCTTTTCAACAGGTTTGAAAACTCCAAAACTCTTTTCAACAGGCTTGAAAACTCCAAAACTCTTATAAAAAGGCTGAAAACTCCAAAACTCAAATCAACAGGCTGAAAATTCCTAAACTCTTATCAACAGGCTGAAAACTCCAAGACTGTTATCCTTAGGCTGAAAACTCCAAAACTCTTATCAACAGGCTGAAAACTCCAAAACTCTTATCAAGAGGTTGTAAACTCCAAGACTCTTTTCAACAGGCTTGAAAACTCCAAAACTCTTTTCAACAGGCTGAAAACTACGAAACTCTTATAAAAAGGCTGAAAACTCCAAAACTCAAATCAACAGGCTGAAAACTCCAAAACTCTTATCAACAGGCTAAAAACTCCAAAACTCTTATCAACAGGCAGTAAACTCCAAAACTCTTATCAACAGGCTGAAAACTCCAAAACTCTTTTCAACAGGTTGTAAACTCCAAAACTCTTATCAACAGGCTTGAAAACTCCAAAACTCTTATCAAAAGGCTAAAAACTCCGAAACTCTTATAAAAAGGCTGAAAACTCCAAAACTCTTATCAACAGGCAGAAAACTCCGAAACTCTTATCAACATGCTGAAAACTCCAGAATTCTTATCAACAGGCTGAAAATTCCAAAACTCTTATCAACAGGCAGAAAACTCCAAAACTCTTTTCAACAGGCAGAAAACTCCAAAACTCAAATCAACAGGCTGAAAATTCCAAAACTCTTATCAACAGGCAGAAAACTCCAAAACTCAAATCAACAGGCTGAAAATTCCAAAACTCTTATCAACAGGCTGAAAACTCCAAAACTGTTTTCCTTAGGCTTAAAACTCCAAAACTCTTATCAACAGGCTGAAAACTCCAAAACTCTTATCAAGAGGTTGTAAACTCCAAAACTCTTTTCAACAGGCTTGAAAACTCCAAAACTCTTATCAACAGGCAGAAAACTCCGAAACTCTTATCAACATGCTGAAAACTCCAGAATTCTTTTCAACAGGCTGAAAATTCCAAAACTCTTATCAACAGGCAGAAAACTCCAAAACTCTTATCAACAGGCAGAAAACACCAAAACTCAAATCAACAGGCTGAAAATTCCAAAACTCTTATCAACAGGCAGAAAACTCCAAAACTCAAATCAACAGGCTGAAAATTCCAAAACTATTATCAACAGGCTGAAAACTCCAAACCTGTTTTCCTTAGGCTTAAAACTCCAAAACTCTTATCAACAGGCTGAAAACTCCAAAACTCTTATCAAGAGGTTGTAAACTCCAAAACTCTTTTCAACAGGCTTGAAAACTCCAAAACTCTTATCAACAGGCAGAAAACTCCGAAACTCTTATAAAAAGGCTGAAAACTCCAAAACTCAAATCAACAGTCAGAAAACTCCAAAACTCTTATCAACAGGCTGAAAACTCTAAAACTGTTATCCGTATGCTGAAAACTCCAAAACTCTTATCAACAGGCTGATAACTCCAAAACTCTTATCAACAGGCTGAAAACTCCAAAGCTCTTATCAACAGGCTGAAAACTCCAAACATTTATCAACAGGTTGAACCTCCAAAACTCTTATCAACAGGTTGTAAACTCCAAAGCTTTTTTCAGCAGACTTGAAAACTCCGAAAATCTTATAAAAAGGCTGAAACTCCAAAACTCTTATCAACAGGCAGAAAATTCCAAAACTCTTATCAACATGCAGAAATCTCCAAAACTCTTATCAACAGGCTGAAAACTCTAAAACTGTTATCCTTAGGCTGAAAACTCCAAAACTGTTATCATTAGGCTGAAAACTCCAAAACTCTAATCAACAGGCTGAAAACTCCAAAACATTTATCAGCAGGCTGAAAACTCCAAAACTCTTATGAAGAGGTAGAAAACTCATTTTCTTTGTATTTTTCATGCTTTATATTCATTTTAAACTAAGTAAGGTAAGGATTAATTTTTGTTACTTCACAAGCCTTTGACAACTTTTTTTCAAACCAGAAATATAAGACTAGAAGATTAATTTCTCTATCTTGATTTGAGAACAGATTCTCTTTTAACAATGTCAGTGGTTCAAACAGTATGTCTAAAAATTAGTTGAAATGGACTAAATCCTTGAGGAAGAGTTACTTAGGAAGAGATAAGTGTTTCTAATCAGTTTTATGAGAAACTTGATTCATGAATGTTGTGTCTGTTTGACATTTGGAAGTGTTTGTGTGAGATTGAAATATTGTTTTACCAATAAACTGCTGAGTGGAAGACTTACCGACAAAAGAAACTTTGTGACTCAAGGCATAATCATCAGCTGTACAGCAGCAAAGTTTCGATCTTTTGCTCATCCACATAGGCCTTAGTTTCACTGTGGATAGTCCTGATCATCCAAACCCAACCTGTCAAAAAAATGTTCTTTTTCTCATGCAAATTATCGCTCCGGTGGCATAGTTGTTGGAGCGTCCGCCTCGGATACGGAAGATCTCGGGTTCGAACCCCGGCCGAGTCATACCAAAGACTTTTTTATTAAAAAAATTGTGCTAACAGCTGCCTCGCTTGGCCCTTAGCATTAAGAATTTGGTGTTAGGACTGGTCGGCCTGTTGTCAGTATAATGTGACTGGTTGGGACATCATGCTACTCGTCTGTGGCCTGATGACCCAGTGCTAGACATCATTATAAACTGTCATACTGCAGACATAGTAGCAAAATGACTGAAATTTTGTTAAAGCTACGTTAAAAATCTAAATCACACACACACATATATACACACACACACACACACACTTGCAAAATCGACACGGGTCTGTCCAGTTTCTCTTTTACAGTTCATAAAACTTTGCCTATATGCCTCGGGTAACTACTTACAATCTTTCAATATAGATTTGTTAACCATATCATAATCAACACTTTGTTGTATTTACAACTGTAGATTTGACGAGCTTTACCAGAAAGAAGACAATGTGATAATATCGGTCTTTTATCAATTTCACATTTTCAACATTTTGTTTTCAAAATGGAAAAATATTTATATATTTTAAAAGGGGTTACTAACCTAATACTTTCGGTAAGTTCAAACATTAAACATGAGGAAAGGACGGGTCACTTACCAATTATATTTATTTTAATCTCAGTCAAAATTTCTTTTCCTCCTTTTCTCTTTGCATTTGCATCAGTCTACATTCTCTTTCTTTTTCTGTATCTTTCCTCTTTCTGCAACTGCAATTCTCTTTTTTCTGTCTGCACCTACATTTTTCTCTCTCATTTTTCTCCACTGTATTTGGCTCTCGTCGTATTCTTTTGTCAACTGCATGTATCTCTCTTTCCTGATTTAGAAGCTGAAACTTTCTTAACTCATCCTGTCTTGTGTTTAATTTCAATAGAGACTTGCTAATGAAACCTAACGCATGTTTATCCAAAGAGTATTCTGCACCAAATATTGGACCAATTTGTTTTTATTTTTTATTCCGTTAGATAAGCCATTCCCTCAGAAATATAATATTGTTTGGCAAGCTGGAATAGTTTAGCTTTTTTCAAAGGTTCCGGCCTTTCCTCGGTAGGATTTGAAATCTCCACATTAGACATTATGAAAGCTTGTTGATCTCACTGTTGCTGTTTTAAATATGTAAAATATCTTTAAAAAATTCAAAACATACAAAATTTAAATTTCAAAAACTTTATTAGAGAAATTCGTAATAATATGATCCAAAACGTTTCTTATCTAAGTTTACTATGATTCCAAATTATTGTAAAAAAAGCTAAGACACAAAGAAGAAGCAGAACGAGGGTCAATTGTTCATTTCTAGGATACTCAAAGTTGTTAACAGGATAAAATATGTTGCAAAAGTTATAATATAAACATGGTAAACATCTGATAGACCAGGTATTTCCATGGAAAAACCAAATGTCCTTGATCCAAATAAACATGTTTACTTACATTGATAATGATCAGAATACTTAATCCACAAATATATATATATATATATATATATATATATATATATATATATATATATATATATATATATATATATATATATATATATATATAATCAGTCTCCCGTGTAAGGTGAACTAATTTAATTTTGGACAAGGTTGCGTGCAAGATATATGTGTGTTATCTTTCTTTTGCTTTTATGTAGATAGAATAACTTATTATCTTATTATCTATATATCAGATGAAATGGAGTCACAAACCTCAATATACAGGTTGGTTTTTTGTATACCTTTAAAAAATTACCATATAAAAGGTACATATATTAGTGTCTATACTAAATCTAAAAATCTCACTAAACCTGAAAACAACATATTACAAATAATCGGGCATATTATGATAATGAAAATGGCCACTGTTTAAGTCTGACAAGGATCCCATTGTGTCATTAATATCATGTTGATTTAATTGTGCTTAATTTGCATCTGATCCCACAAATAATGTTTAATATGATTTTATAGTTAGTATTTTTGTTGATGAAAGATTTTGAATATATCACCCTGTATAATGCCTGTATGGGTTTATAAAACTTTTCCCGACACCAGTTTTCGCCCGTAATCAGAAATATCTGAAAAGTGAAAGGTTGACTGGATTCTAAACAGACATTCTTTTAACCATAAATTTAAAATTCTGTTACTCCTAATATATTTCCTCTCAAATGACTCTTTGAAAGAAAAGAAATGGTATATTTAGCGGGAATACTGAGTTTTAATTTCACTCCTTCGAATTATTGTCTTTATATCTCTTGTGTTGGCTGACCTGTTGGATGATTGTTCGGTTGATAGGTTGGATGATTGTTCGGTTGATAGGTTGGATGATTGTTACGTTGATAGGTTGGATGATTGTTCCGTTGATAGGCTGGAGGATATCTTACTATACGAAATGTCTGTGAATCCAGAGAAATAACTCAATGTATTGGTAGCATTTATTTATCGTAAATTTATCGATGCCAGACATTTAAAAATGTCTGTGTCACTGAACACTGAAATTTTATTCGCTGTCAAAAAAACTAGGTCAATGCAAATAGTAGTATTTGTAGTAGTTGTAGGGTTTAACGCCATTTTTCAGCACAAGATAGGCTATACAAGGCGGCCATTATTAATGGTAGGAGAAGAACCCTTGAAAACCTCGGGAAGAACCACATACATACGAGAAGCTAATGGCAGGCTTTCTCACCCATGTTAGCCGAGTCTGGACTCGAACTCACGCAGACAGAGGTGAGATGGCAGTGATCCGTAACGGTCAGCGCTTTAGACCACTCGACCAATCGGGGCCCCATCAATGCAAATAAACGTGCATATATAAAAGACATGCAAGCATCAGCGTCCATATTTTTTTAACTTGTGGACTGAAAAAGAAAATAATAAATCTCAACAACTGCTGTTTGATGATGATGTTGATAATGTTGTTGCCGAGGACGATGACGCTGATTACGATTGCTCTTTTTAATAAAATTGTTGTTGTTATTACTAGTTGTAGTTTTATGACCCAAATATGTGTGATTCAGGATGAACTAAACATACATTTGCCTTGTTGGTTTTCAAATCAATCTCCCTCACAAATCATTTTCGAAAGAAGAATAAATGTGCGTACATAATCATCTGTGTGTACAGAAGGGCACTAAATAGACGATGGGTAGGTAAGTGAGTTACTATTGTTTATGTATGATTGTCACTGCTTTGACACCGTTATGGCTTTTACTTCCAACGTTGTCTGTTTTTCACGTCTATTAGCATGGTAGCCATGTTCATGTATTTAAATATCTGTTACATAATTATCAAATTTGTTTGCTAATAATCCAATAAAAAATGTCAGTAATATTTAATACAGGCAAGAATATCAGCTGTCGTTTTTCTAACATTGACTATCGCTCTAACTCTTTGTGAATTTTGTCTTTTAGTATTGGTTTCTATTACAATACATTGAGACGACACATTTGGTAATCATAAGTTCTCGTAGTTTTTTTTATATATACGGATCCTATTTTCACAATAAACCATACAAAATATGGCCTGCACAGTAAAATAACATACAAGTTTATCTTTCCATCGAGGCTCGTTAATTCTGTGGAGAATATTTCTTGTTAAAATATGCAAAAATTTAACTTTCACAGTTTCATATAACTAAGATGGCATCATCCTGAAATCTCTTCTCTATAGTATTTAGTAGATACAGTAAATATCTTACAGAAGGCCTTTGTTCACTATCAACGGTATACATTGTAAGCCTTAAAGAAGGCCTTTGTCACCTTTAACGGTATATATTGTAAGCCTTAAAGAAGACATTTGTCACCTTTAACGATATACATTTTAAGCCTTAAAGAAAGATTGTGTCACTATTAACGGTTTATATTGTAAGACTTTAAAAAGACATTTGTCACCTTTAATGGTATATATGTAACAGTAAATAACTCAAAGAAAGATTTTGTCACCATTAACAGTATATATTCTAACAGCAAAAACTTAAAGATGGCCTTTGTTACTTTTATCAGTATATGTTGTAAGCCTATGCCTTTGTCACCATTAACATTATAAATTGTAAGCCTGAAAGAAGGCCTTTAAAAGTATATATTGTAGCAGAAAAGACTGCAAAAGTCCCCCCTGTGAGACCTTTAAAAGTTGGATATATAATTCTTTATAACCCTTGCAATGCTACTATCAGTATGTTCATATAAGGTCAAGAAATGTACTTACCATGCTGCCTTATAAAAATAGCTTCAAAAAAAATTATTTAATCAATAAGCGAATATAATTAACGAAATATATCGCAAATTATAATAACCTGAAACGAATATTATGTGAAAAACAAATTGGTGCAAATCGAACACAACATGTTGCATTGGCTTCTTTGGTCTTTTCTGTTCGCTTCCACCTGAAAATCAAACACGTCCTATAGGTTCACATCGGCCTTATTTGACTTCAATTGCAATTAGTACACAGAGATGTCGACGAATCAGAGACCTTTGGGGACGATGATTGCAATTATACGTGAATAGAATGTATCAGGTTTTAAGGTGATGGACGAATAAGCAAGCCTTTGTTGAAAGTTTAGACCTTTATCAAAATTAGGTAAAACTATAACACCATTGTAATTCCTAAAAAGTTTTGTCTTCTAAATAAATCCTGGTATTCTCACCGGTGATAGTTCCGTTGATCTTCAATGAAGTCGGATTGGATTATTCAATTATATTATAAAGAATACCATCTGAAAATGCCGCAATGCAGAAAATTGTCTGCAATTTCAATCTTTAATTCATACGAACTTGCATAGCAGAAGACCCGATAAAAACCTTGTCAAAAGTATAATCTACCTGCATGATTGATTCTAAAGGATTCCAGACTGCGGAAGATTATTGCAACTGAATGGAAACTTAGGAGGCATTAAACTTTAGCCAGACGTACCAATACAATAAGACCGGGTCGTTATTTGCAAGCGACACTATCCAAACAACCTGTAACAAATGTTCGAGAATGATGACTCCGATTCTTCTCACAAAATTAAGGATTTCGACTATTGC